TCACTGCATGTATAGCTTCTTCTTCCTTTCTGACATGTTGTGGCATTAATGTAAAAAGATGCTTTTTCGTATGACTTTTGCAGAGTTTTCCATGGGCTGAGCATTTTTTCTTCTTTTTTGAAGGTTTTCTTCTTGTTTTGAAGGTTATGATGCTTATGACTGTAGATATATAAGATCTCTATTCTTGAGTCTGGTTGTCCTTCTTAAGTTCTTTTGGTTGAATCTGGATATTTAGTCTTCACTAATAGATGTCATTATTTTACTCCTTCCTTTGGATACATCCTGTTGAGCTGCTTTTTCTATCTGAAAGCATTTTTCAGGGCTTAAGTTCTCTTCTGTTCATAGCCAACATTGTCTTTAAGTAGGGAATCTTAGTATCTTCAAAACTATTTGTGCCTTTAGCTCTCTAATGTTAATGTCTAGTCTCACTTTAGTTTTTAGATTTTGGTTAAAGTAGTCCCAAACTTCACCCTATACTTGAAGAAACACAACTACAAAAAAGCCCAGCTTGTCTGTACAGTTTTAGTTTGTCTTGGGCCGTACTATGCCCACGGGGCCTCTGTCACTAATTCCAGTCTTCCCAACATTATTTCTAGCAATGCTGACTCACCCTTTCCTCATCTTTTTTCCTTCAAAAAGGCCACATAAAAAAACCTCTCATTTTTTTCAGTTTCATGGTGAGCTCTATCCACACGCTCAGTTGCCATATTTGTGCAAGCTCTGTTGTTTGCTGAGAATTCAGGTTTTGTGGTGCTCCGATACTTCCTTACTGTTCTTTTTTGGGTCTATCTGCTAATAAGTCATTATCTCTTCCTCAAACTTTCATTAGACAGACTGTTGCCATCATGTTTCATATTGTACATTTTGGCAATGGGAGTAGGAAGAAAGTGTCTTCTAAAACTGAATTGTGAGAACTCTTCACACAAGTGTTGCAGATCCAGCTGGCATCCAAGCCATGTGCAAAAAGATTGGGTTTCCTCTTCCAAACACTTTTCTGCTTCAGCCTTTGTCCTTCTCCATTTATGCAGCTTGCTATAGCTAGATTCCTTTAGTAAAGAATGCTTTGTACTCAGCTTTCAGACGCTTTATTGCAGAGAAGTGCAGTTGGTACAGCCATTGATCCTTGATTTTTCATGATGCTAGTTCATCAATGAGTGCTTTCAAAATTAGGCTCAAGCTTTATAATGGGCATTGGAAGAGCCAGAGACATGGCACAGAGTGGTAATGCTTCTGGGAGTTAGATCTGAGAAGAAAAAGGGAAGCAGCATCTTGTAGCAAGAGTATTTTACGCTTTGTCTTCTGATCTTGCTTACAGTGAAGCACGATAATCCAGTCTGTAGGTGCCTGATACATTGACCATACTGGTTGGATTCTCATATGGGGGGAAGGACAAGATAGAGGAGAAATAATACATTTTTGGAAGCATATGCTACCAAAAGCATGTGCATCCAAGTTTTTTGAGGAGTCAGAGAGGACCTAGAATTTCCATCCAACTGTGGAAAGAATGTCTGTTTCCCATCATGAAAAGGTGGAGGTCTTCAATGTGTTTCCCTTTGCAAAGAAGCATCACTTTGGTCTTGTCTGGATTCAGTTTGATCCATCTGTTCTTCATTTAAGAGCTAATTTCCTGTAGTTATTCTGATGTTTTATAGTGATGATAGTTGCATCAGAAAATGAGATAAATAGTAGATTGTCAGCAACATACTGTTAGCAATTGAACACATGCCATATCACTCTCTCTCTCAGCAGTCTCATGTAGATAGATGTAGATTGTATGGATCCTGTTGGATCCTGAAGGTGAGGACCTTGGAGGAAGAGGCTCGTATCCACCACCTTTTTTTGAATTACGTGTAGAACACAAGATGCAGTACTAGTGTGTTGATGGGACTGTGTAATAGGGGATTCAGATGTCTGAAAACAGGAATCTGGAGATTACAGTTCCATGGTTGGCAGAAGTTTTATAAATTCCTCCAGGAAGCTGTCAGAATTTCCATGTGTAGTTTGTGTATCACTAGGAGCCCTGGTTTGTCTAGTCCTTTGCCTCACAGTGCATATGGATATACTCAAATGTTCTTATTTCTTGGTGGAACATCTTCTGCATCTGACATTGAGACCATAGGACCCTTCCTTCATGTTTTCTCTGCCTTTTTTTTTTTTTTAAACTTCTGGTATTTATCTTGGCCTGTTACTATTCGTGTTCTGGTGTCTATCTTGGCTCTTCTGAAGGGTATCTGTGCTAGGATAGGATTGAGATGGTATTGAATCATGCCTCGGTGATGCAAAAAAGTCCAGGTGTTTCATCTGCAAGGAAAGCGCAGATGTGTTCTTTTTCTAAGGGGAAACTTTGCATTCGGCAGCAAGAACTTCAGATAGTTTTCTTCTTATCTTTTGTTTAATGATGTTACTGTCTAAGCAATTAGCTGCAAACACCAATTTATGGTGTTTATTCTAACGTGGTGTTCTGGGAGAGTGACTCCTCACCATAACGATACCAAGGACTTAGAAAAGTAACATATAATGGCATGCAAGGTTTTGGGCAGCCTGGTTTGCCTGGGTTTTTTTAGATTCCCATGACCCAGAAGCGTTGTACAGTGTAGTCTCTGTGCTTTGAATGCTTGGCCCTTACACAGAGTGTAACAGCAGGCAAGTAGTGTTGGAGTGACAGTCTGTGGCCTGAATACTGTGGTGGTGTTTCGTCCAATTTTTTAAAACTCTTCCACTGACAAGAGAAAGCAGCAGACTCTTACAGGGTGGCATACACCAGAGATAGGGAGGTAATGGCAGGGGGGCAGTGCTATGGGTTCTCCAGCAAAAAGGGAGGCAAAAGGGTTGGTAGGTTCAAAATCAGAACAGAACCTCCTCATATCCCTAAGGCTGTGAACAACTTATCTACTTAGTTTTGATTAATTTTCATTTCTGGAAGCAACACTTTCTGCATCTGACACTGAGACCACAGGACCCTTCCTTTCCTTATAATCAAATAGTCAGGGGGAATGTGTATATCAGGATGAGACTGGTAGTTTTTTTCAGGACTATTGATAGTATCTCATGCTACTGTAGTAGTTGAATATGAAGATTTATTGACATCCTTTGTTTCTGATGTTTCGTATAACATAAAGATAATTTGGTAGGACTCAATTATGGAGACAGATGCTTTGCATGTCAAGACAAGGTGTCTGGATGGAAATTCTGAGGGTAACCACAGGAAAGATTAATGGTTTCAAAATATGTGGATGAGCGTTACCTGTCAAACAGGCCAAAGCAAACCCTTATATTCAGATGCTTTCACTGCAGGCAGGATATTTTAAATGCAAATATTATAGCAGAGACCTATCTCTACTAAAGCCAAAATTTGAAGAAATGATCTCATTAAGAAGTAATTTCGCATTACAAAACATTAATTATACTTGGCCAATCTCTGTCTGCTATAGACTGGAAGCAGTGGAGTCAGCACAGTTCTAATATCAGTGATTCGTTTTCATGTGTTATACATACATGGATACATACACATTGCCTGCAATGCCAAAAAACCTAAGCCTCTTCAACCAACAAGTTTGTTGTTTATTAGATGCAAAAAAATTTTAGTCTAGAACTGGCATGAATTAATTTGTCTGTTCTGCAGGTTTATCTGTGGCTGTTCAAAGATTCATCCTATTTCATTTATCTGTGATTTATCAAATTTATCCTTCTGCCCCGACTTTTGTCTGAAAGCATTTCAGTGTACTAAGCTGTGACATGCTCAGGTTGTGGTGCAGTTCCTTTCTAAAAAATGTTAGACTGCCACAGCTTACATCAATATATGTGTGATTATACAGCAAGATATTGTTGCTAAAGCTGAGTGAACAACTTATTATTAATATAATTCATTAAGGATGAGTCTTTAGGTTTAGGTGGCGTATGGGGTAATGTGTGAATGAATATGTTGCTTCCTTGACTGCATAAGAAAAGTATTATTCTTCCCTTGCTCTCCTACTTCTCTGCCGATTAACACAAAGGAAGAGAAAAGCCATGAATCCTTCCTCTTTTCCTCCAGGTAGGTAGGTCAGGAAGAAACTCTTGCTTTGCTCTCTTTTAAAAAATCATTGTCAGAATAGGTTCTGTATGACTACATGAAATACTTCCCCGGGTATCAGCAGACGTGCAGATGTGTGCAGAGGGGTGCAGTCCAATGCATATGCCCTCATTATGCTTAGTAAGACATTGTGAATAATGCCAATTTTCCTTACTTTTATGTACTCATTAGAAAGTTTGAAGAAACTAACACTGAACTTCACAAACTGCCGTTATATCTAGCTCCCCATAGAAAACCTCTAGCGTTTTGCGAGTGGGGGACAGACCATTTAAATCACAAGATTTGTGTTTATTTAGCTGTTTTCTCTGACTGGTAAACCCTTTCAGTATAAGAAACTTCAAACAGAGGAATAAACCCTCACAATAGCCATAGAAGAAGAAAACTTCAAAAATTTGCTCCAATTGCCTGAAACCTTGTAAACAATGAAAAATATAACCTTAAAGATGAAGTGTTTTCCATAAAAAAATTAATTTGTTCAATTTATTTAGTAATCTGTGTAGGCTGCTATGTGCACCTCCACACATGCATGAACACACACACATATACACACGTGGTAAGTTTGTAGCTGTACAGTTAAAAGAATTTTGAGGAAAATATATCCTATTTACTGCTTAGCTATGTGACCAATGCAGAACTGTAATATAAATCTCAGGAATTTCCATCCCATTGTTTTTTTTTACTGAAGAAAGTAGACCAGGATGATAACAGTTGGATGCAAAAAGCAATCATATTTTCAGTACAAAAATAGTGTTATTGTTTAGTAAGCTATACTACTTAAGTGTATTAGGGGGATATACTGGCTTGCCCTGGATGGTTTTATTCTTTTTCCTTAAAAATATCTTTTGTTTCCACCCCCCGCTAAGAAGGAAGGAATGTTTCCCATTAAGATATGAAGTGAGTTTGTTTTTCACTTTTGCCTTTTATATAGGGATACTGAATATAAAGGACTACAGCTCTCCCTGGATCAGGTCACTGCTACCAAGCCGGCATTCTCATACGCAAATTCAACTCCGACCATAACGGATAATAGAAAGGGAAGCAAATCTCGCCTCTCGAGCACAAAGTCAAAATCAAGGACATCACCATACCCACAGGTAGCTGTCTTTGAAAAACACAATTAAATCTTTTTGAATATCTTGATTTTGACTGCTATTTTACCCAAGCAATTAGAATGGGCCAAAGAACATGTTACTGAAAGGGAATAAAGGACAACAGGTTATAAGATCTTGAGACAGGAATATGTTTCTTTAAACTGTTTCTAAAAAGCTGGAAACATTTATGTTTCAGCATGCATAATAAATCATCATCAACAACAATAACAGTGCAGGGCTCAGAGTTAATGAGGAGCGGACAGAAGGACAAGTGAAAACGTTGGTTTTGAAATACTTGGTTTGAGAGGATTGTGAGTTTTGCCATTTGAGAAAGCTTGCTTTTTCTTACTTACTCTTTAATAATTCCAACATATCTAGAAAGCTGCCAGATGTTTGACAGCAGTTTAATACTGAAATCTTAGTCAGGAGGATTGAGTTTTGAGGAGGGAAAGCAAGAAGCTAACTTGTTGAACTGGAACAAGAAAGATTTTCTATGTACAAAGGTTTGAAAGAAAGAAAGCGCTAGGAGGTGGCCACTGGTGTCAGTAGACTTTAATTTCCCAGATTTCATTTTCAGCCCTAATGTGTAAGGAACATGCCCCCGCTTGGAGAATGGACCACACTCGATTGGGTCTCTGAACTGGAGCTTACCTAATACATTTATGCAACTGATTTCTGCAGACAATGCCACAGCACTTGCATACTTACATTGCCAACCCTTTAGCTCAAATAAATCTGTTTGTCGAAATAACCCTTATGTTTACTAAATAATGATGCAAGTCTTACTGCCCTTATGCCACTACACAGTGGATATAAATGTATGCATTCATGATGTCACATTGAAGAGCTATGTATTTTTAAAGAGTCCAGGTCAATATTTAACTGATAATGACCTTGATGACTACAGTTTCTCTGCAGGCACAATGTTTTCTAAACTGACCTCTAAGAGTGTACAATGTGAGCCCAAGTGTCTACATCACTTCCTTGTTTTCTTTCTTTTTCCCCTCAAAAGTACCAATGGTAAGAATTTCAGTTAAATGACATCTGCTTTTGGCACAGGGAATATTTAACCGAGCGGCTAGATACGACTTCAGATTCTTAATTTTAAGAATCTAATTTTGCCAGAGGTTGTTATGGCTCTTGTTGTTTAATCATTTGTTCACATGCATTTCTGTGGGTTGTTACAGAAGAGTCTTTCTCTTGAATACACTAAAACAAACAATAGTAATATAACTACTTTAAAGAATGGGGAAAGATACCTACAATTATTTCTAAATTAGATTTTTTAAGATGGCTATCTTTGATTTACTGAAATTACCCTTCATCTGCCGTTACACAGTCCTTTCAGAAGCCCTCATTTGCTAGCAGGACAATCCCAGCTGAAGACCTGTTATCCTCCCACATCAATTTGCTTTCTGAAAGTGTGACTTTCATCGGTACCTCCTTATTCTCTCTGTCACCAGAAAAAATCCTGAATTAGCAGTGCAGCATTGAGACTGTTGGTTTATCAGGGATTGTTGTCTGAAAGCTCAGGATGCTTTGTCTCCAGTTTCATTTTGCATCCTCATTACCAGCTGCCTGGTAGTAAAGTCACAGATTTCATCATTCAAAAAGAAGCAGCCATGTTAGTTGCCAATATCTTGAAAAATGGTCATACCGTTCATTGTAGAACATCGCCACAAGCAACGCTGGCAGCTTGGCTTTGCATCCCTCTCATCCTTCTCCACCACTGAATAAACTGTTGAAAGACTAAGAAAAGCTGTTGTGAAGAACATGCAGCAGGTGGTATGGCCTGTGTCCCTCAGTCTCCAGCCCACGTAATTTGCCAGTCAGTTGCGGAGAATTAGTGTGACTCAAAAGCCAGGGCTGAAAAGTGAGGTCATGGGTTTTGGCTTACACAGGAGCCTGGGTTTTGGTGGAGGAAGGAGGCAGGAAGTTTATTAGTAAAATAATGGCAGTGGGCAAAGTATTTCTTAAGGGCGCCTAGGAGATTTTAAATGTACATACTTTCTTTCCTTTTTTATTTCTCTCTTTTTTTTTTTCCTTTTCCCCTTACCATTTACTTTGCTTCACTCTTGAAGAGAAAAGAGAATCATATGCTTTATTGGGTGACGACTGAGAATCCTCTCCCTTGCCAGCTGTGTGCCCCTAGGATGAGGGCACACCTTTTGCATGAGATGTGAACTGTATGAAAACCATGTTAATAAATTTCAGCTGAATGTTTACTACTAGGGCAAAAGGTGGATGTTTTGGTCACCTAAGACAGTGTTAATGTTTTTTTCCTCAAATCTTATGCAAAAGCAGACATAGTGTAATATGGTGCTTGTAGACTCTTTAAGCAAAAACCGAGTTCGTTAAATTGGAGGCATTGGTCAGAATCTGATTAACACTGACTGACGTTAGTACTAGTCTAGTGGGTTCTGTGAAACCAGCCCCAGGCAGGGGAAGGGCAAGCAGAGGGGAGAGCAACCCAAAATTCACAACACAGCTGTAGGATTTGCCCAGACTCTTTGAACAGTGCTCTTCTAGTCCTGTCCTACCAGAAATGTGGAGAGCTGAAAGAGTTGGTGAAAAAACAGTAGCAATGAAGACTTGGTAGAGATTTACAGAAAAAGGATATTGTGAGTTGGTTAAAAGATGCCTATAGTCTTCCCCTATAATAATAATCATTGTGAGTGGCTCCCAAAATCTAGCCCTGGGCCTCATTTATTCTGTACACAGGAAATAGCAACAAGATTAGAAAAACATTTTAATTGTGATCATCTGAACAACTGCTTTGGAGTTTAATCTTCCATTAATGATGATTGTTTAAAGAAAATATTTAAAATTGTCTGTTGTCTGCCTCTAATGGAAATGTTTTATGGTCAGATCTGGATAAACGTTTATTGCTTCATATCTCATCTTAGTTCTTGGATAAAGATTATATATATATCTATCTCTAAAACAAATGCACATATACAAGTAAGGAGGTACCCAAGAGCTGTTGGATGGAAGCTTTGGTGTGTGTTACAGCATACATGACTTTTTGGAAGTAAGAGCCCACTCTAGTAGGTGTATATTAATACACCTGATTTTGGAGGTAGATTGATTTTATAGCTCTTTTAAACTGATGGCCTGGATTAATTCTGCAGTCCACCTCTATTTAGGCATATCACCCAAAGGGGTAAAGATAACAGAATTGGGCTGAATTCTAGTCAGCCTTTTTCTGTTGTTGTTGTTTTTTCATTTCTTCCTGTAGCCTAAAGCTTTGGCAACTTCCAGTGTATTCAAAAGCAAAGCAAAACCCTCGTTTTATAGTAAACATAACTCCTGATCTGGTGAAGAGTCACCAGCATTGGGGGTTATTTTAATGGACATGCTGTATTACTTTAATCTAAGCCTTTCACCATCTGTTCTGCCTATAATAGTGAATGCAAAAAGAACATATTTTACATTTCAGGATTACATTAGTAAAAAGTAAGATAAAAGTGATTTAAAAGCATGCATATGTTCTTAGTACAATGCAGCCCGCATCTGTGATTTTTTTCTCATGGTTAAGACACAAATCAAGAGGAAAGATGCTAATGCTGATGTAGTGAAAGTTTTTCATGGAAAAAAGGACTCTGAGAGGGTTTCACTACATATTTAATGTTTATAATGATAAGAACCTGACTAGGCTGCCAGAAAATTAGGTATCTATAACTTCTATTGTCTGAACATCTGGCATGGTGTGTGGAGCAGGCTGATGTTGCTGAGTATGACAGGATGAGTGCTCAGACCAGTGAGACACCTGTAGGGATGGAAGGTCAGGCAAGAGAAAATCACCTGAGAAATATTAAATTGTCTACTGGCCTAATACACTTCCATGGGCTGTCATAAAATAAGCTTTTCTTAGACATGGAATTTATATTTTCCTATTTTTTTGCCCCTTCAGCCCTCCCGAAGTTTTTCTTGGAGTGAAAATAACATCAGTGATGGCCTATAGCCCCTTTATATGTCAGTGCTAATCCCACTGGTGTGCTCTCACTGCGATGGTACACTGGATTAGCACTCTGGAAGACATTTCTAGTATCCGGAGGTGGCAATTCAGTTTCCAGAATCCAGCTGGAGGACCATTTAATTTATTTATTGTTGTTGTTTATACCAGAAGACAATTCAGAAATCACCTGACAGGATTTCAGATGTTGCCTGTCTGAAGTTCTTTATCATGTTTAACTTCTGTCTGCTGGTTAAACTTCGTAAAAAAACCCAAAAATAATAAAATCTGCCTCATAGGAGTCAGAAGGCAAAAATTAGCAGAAAGGAAAACATTTCTGGTGAGGCAGGACTGGGGTTGAAAAAAAAAATATTTTCAGTAATTTTAATTGGCCATAATTTTCATTAAATCTGATTCCATTTTCTATGGTCTTTCATCACTTGACATATGGGAGCCTAATTCTGACTTGAGAGATAGTGTTTCCACTCCCATTTCAGTAAAGCAGTATCTTTGATCATCCTTTCATTTCTCCCCCCGTCAACATGTCACACATGCCTGTATTTGGAGTCTCCACCTGTCAACATCAGATTCCCAGAAGAGGCAGTGGTAGGACTGCAGCGGTAGAGGCAGCCTGACGATGCCAAATAGAGATATGATTAGCTTTAAAGGGAATTAGACATATTTTTGGCCTATGTCTGCTTATTTGTACCTTAAGAATAAGCAGTCATATCAAAACTTGGTAGACAATGTTGGCCACAAGCAATTCACTGTGTTAATTTAATTCTGTCCGTGGCCTAGCAGCTGCTGCGGGTCAGATCTCAAATAATCATCATTTACATCAAGTACAAAGAATATGCATGAAGTATTGTTGGTCTTGACTACATGGTAATATGACATTACATGGTGCATTTCTGATATACTGAACATGTACCCTTTGAAATGGTTTCCCTTTCTTTAAGAAAAGTGCATGAAGGCCTGTGCAATTGAATCCTTTGTGGTTAGGTTCAAGATAAAAAAAAACCTCTGAGCAAGTTTTCAGTTAAATGGAGAAATTCCCTTCAAGAGAAGCTATGTTGGACCCTGAGGTGTCCTTAGAAACAGAGAACTAATAGAAGAATATTTATTAGAGCTAAATGACATTAAGAATTTTCAGTTTGAAAGAATCTCTGGCATTTATTATCATGATAAATTGTCCAAAAAATGAAACTTCATTATAATATTATTAGAAATTATTTTTCCTTGTCCTCCTCATGAAAGAAATACGTATTATGAGTTTTGGTTTTAATAAGGAAATAAATGAACTTTTAACTTTTTTATACTTACATTTATGCTTATCTTATAGTTCAGCTTAACTTTTTAAATTAAAAAATCTAGTTTATAAAAATCAAATCCAAAAAGAGCACTAAAAATAATTCTAAAATTAAGAACAGGTACAAAAGTAGTTTTCCTTTTGTGAATTTCCATTTTAAATAAAAATTAATAGTCAGAATCTTGTTAATAATTTCTATTTTTTTCATTGGAAACAATTTTAAATTCAGTCGGTATTTATGAAGATATCTTTGTGACTAAGCAGTTTGAAGACATTAGATCTGAAAGGATAATAGAAGAGTTAGATGTTTCAGTTGGTCACATAACACTGTGATGGCTGAAAAAAGTTCCTAGTTAATGTATGTTGAGTCAATGGCATTTAAAAGAATTTTTTTGTGCCTCTGTAACTGTCTTAACTCCATGTGAAATCAGATTTATCCTTTCATCTCTATAACCTTGTGATGAATACGGTGGTACTAACTTGCTGACCTCCTCCATATCTACTGGTAGGCTTTTTGCCTACGGGTATTCTGACAACTAATAACAAAATATAATCGAGCTCCTCAAAGCCATGACCCTTTCTTTCTTTCCTTTAAATAACCTATCGTATTAACAAACAGCATTCACAAATATAAACTGCAATACTGAAGAATACCCAATTAAATGCCAAAACCACTACCAATGTTGCACAGATGGTTTAAGTTTCTGAAAGTCAAACATCTGGTCAGTACTTTCGATTGGTAAGTGCATAAAACCTTGATCCTGGCTGATAATGAGGAGTTTCATAGCAACTCAATCTAATGAAAAGGAAGGTAAGCTTATGTTTTCAGGAGAGAGGCCTAATGCCTATTAAAAGAAAAGGCAGAGTGGGCATCTGGAAGGTGAGTGATGGAATGGGAGAATTCCAAGGTTTCATGTCGTAATACGTTGATTTGTGACATGAGTGTGCAGTACTGAAGAGGTGAGCATGTACAGCTTCGGTCTCATCCCGATCTGTAATCATGGGTGAAACTGATTTAAAGATGTTCCATGAAGTTCGACAGTTCCAATAAATAAAAAGATTTAAAAATGAGATAGCTAAATCCTAGGATGTTTAATAAGCATTTTTTTTCTTTCCCAGAAAGTATCTAAAAGTTTGAAACATTCATTAGGAATACCTAGAAATCTGTGACATTTAACTTAACCCTTACTTCTCTCTAAACAAAAGCCCATGCTCCTATTCTGTCTGCTTTTCCAACTGCCTGCTAGCTGCTGCTTCTGTGTTGGGAGGGCCCTGCTTAAGTGAGGCTGCCAAATGCCCGCCCTGCCTGCTTGGGCTAGAGGTTGCCTTTTCTGGCAAATAGGTGCTGGATTTTCCTTGTTCCCACATTGCAACAGAGCTGTGATTTTTAGCTTCCTACCGATCTGCCACCACTTGGAGCTTTACTCTGTAGTAGAGTTGGTAGTCCCAGGATCTACAGGAGGCTTTCTTTTCCCTACCAATAGGAGGAAAGAAGTTCCAAGATACCACTCCAGGTAAGAAAAAAAATCCAACAACAAACAAAATATGAGGAAAAGAGAGGGAATCCTTAGAAAAAGAACTTGCAAACACATTCAGTTTCAATTTGACATGCGAGAATGCTCTGGGAGCGGTGTTATTTCAGTCCCTTTTGAAAGCGTTTTGCCGAGGAGCACTGGGGCACCATTGCTGAGCATAAGCACTAGCTTTCAAAGCTATAAGAAAAACCTGGACATATTAAAAAAACATTAATGTTGCTGAGCCTAATATTACACACCATAAAGGAGATGGCTATTAACGGTCGACATGGGATGTTTTAGACTTTCGCCAGGTCTGTCCTGTCATCTGTGAGCTCATTACAGAGTGTTGTACTGGAAAGGACTTGGGGTCCAATCAGAAGGCGCAGACGTGTGGGCACGCTCACAAAAAACACCCCATCACATAGATACTCTGTCTTTTCAGTGCAGTTACTTGCAGATTTCACCCAGACGTAGTAATTTCCCCGCTGCTTCTCCTGTTTTGCAGTATTCTGGATTCCACACTGAGAGGTCTGAGTCTGACCATGAAAGCCAGTGGGGCGGGAGCCCCCTGACCGATACAGCTTCTCCCCAGCTACTGGAGCCCGCGGACAGACCGAGCTCCCAGCACCACGATGTCTCCTGTGCCTACAGACAGTACTCAGACCGCAGTGCTCTCTGCTACGGTTTTGCACTCGACCACTCCAGGCTGACCGATGACAGACATTTCCATACTCAGGCCTGTGAAGGAGGCAGATGTGAAGCTGGCCGGTATTTCCTTGGCACGCCGCAGCCGGGAAGGGAGAGCTGGTGGGGTTCTCGTTCAGCATTGCCCCTGACTAAATCATCCCCTGAGAGCAGAGAAGCATATGAAAACAGTATGCCCCACATAACGTCGGTGCACAGGATTCATGGTAAGAGATAACAAGGATTTGCAGAAGTGGCACCATCTCAGATAAAGCAACACGACACGTGTATGTGAAAGACAGAAAATGAGAGAGACTCTTAGTGTATGTCCTTGTCTCAGCGATCACATCAGTGGAGATGAGGATTACTTAAAATTCAAGTTGAGTTTGACAGTCTGGCTTATATGCAGCAAAATATAATTTTGTTGTATATTTTTTAATCTGTGAAATTAAGGTGGAAATATCTGACTGGTGAGATTTTAAGGATGATCTTAAAAATATAAACAAAATTATACACTTGATAGAAATGTGTTATTTATTTGACTTAAGATCACACTACTTTGGATGGAATATATTCAGCAAAAAATTAGAGCTAAATCCAAGCTAGATATTAAAAGATCTTTAAAGATTTTGGAGAAATTGTTCTCCAAATGACTTTTTTCTCTGCAGTGGTTACTACTAGATTCTGTAAGATCTGCTGCTTATTTTTATTTAAAATAGGCAGTTCAAATTAACATTTGCTTTTGGTTTCAGACATTTATCCCCAGCTATAATTTTTAGCCAGTTTGAGTCTCTCCATCCTTTCAGCACCAAGCCTGAAGTCTTGCTTGGTGTCAGGTTGCAAACTCAGTGCATTAGCACATCTTCAGAGGCTGAAACTAGTAAAAAAACCACAGTGAAAGGCTGATCTTGGGTTTGGAAAAATCCGAAGGTCCTTGGGTTTAAAGGGTAGGCTGAGAGTTGAAAGACTGCAACTGACCCAAAAGTCAGAGTTCAAGGTTGTAAGGATAGATGCAGCATAAAAAAAAAGCTTTTCTACTAAAATAATCTGTCAAAACATAGGTTGTATCTAAAGAACTCATAAAACCTAATTACACTAGTACCATTCCATTGGCTTACAGAACGAGACTGGAAATCAAAAAGAACTCTACTATTTTACTCCAACCTGAGGAAAATTATGTTGAGATTAGAAAAATGAATAAATAGCAAGTTCTAGGAAATACAGTCAGAGGAAAAATGAGGAAAGAAAAGGACCCCTAAATATTGCTGATGAGGACTGTTCTCCACTTTTCCTGTGAGAACACACCTCCTTCCTTGTGTCTGTTCTGTACTTCTGTCATACTTGTGCTTCTCTAGCTGCTTCTACTCCAGAAAAGACAATTGAGCGAAGAGAATTTTACTGGCAGATGTTATGTATGATAATTCTTGCTGAGCATAGAAAGATGGTAATGTAGAAATATTGTATGGAGGCACAAATACAAAAGTGTTAAATATTTATTCCGTACCTTTATCAAGGATAATCAATGCAAATGGATAATATAATTTGATTTTAGTTTGTTCCTTGGTTTTGCCATAATTCCAGGTGCTGCAGTTATTTTCTTTATTGTATCAAGTCTTATGTGTTTCAGTAGGCCTTCAGTCTGCATGTAGCTTTGGGGGTAAAACCTGACATCTTAGTCTTAGTTGAGGAGAGGAGTATCTCAGCTTCCCTTGCAAATGTGCCTTTTTCATTTAGATTTAGGCAGTTTCAAACCTTGGCCTTTCACAAATGAAACTCTTTTTGACAATACTATGTGAACATTGCTGTCAGAGCAGTTTCTTTGTGCAGAAAATATTTTCTTCCTTTTCTGTTCTTTTAATGTATCTTCTGGTAGTTCTGGCTCAGAGTCAGCTTACAATAATGACAATTAGCTGACCAGTGTAGCAGGCCCTGGATATTGCGTATGAGCCCATGCGTTCCCGGTCACACTCAGGAAGTTTGGGACACTGCGGATATGGTTCTGTGCAGTGAGACAGACTGAGCATGTGGTTTAGAGCCGCGGCCAACCACCTCCCCAGTGTGTCACGGTGCGCCTGACGTACCGTATGCTTTAGTGGCTGGAGCTCCCTTCCACCTCCAGGCCCTGGCATTTTGGGTCCAGATCTTAAGAGGATGTGAAGGATCAATTTATTCTGATGAGATACTCCACAGTGCAGTACTTCCACCTACAAATGGCAGGATATGTTTATTATAAAAGCCCATCACTGATTTTTGTCATGAACTCTGCCACACAGCGGTAGTGGTCTGCCACCCAAACAGATCTGCCTTGACCCAACACAGAGCAGGGGGAACTGCTTGTGCTAGTCTGAAAATGGGTTTCCTTTGAGGAGTCCTGTAAACCAACCCAACGGGCCTCGTCCCCAGGGAGGACTTTGTATGTGCTGAGGCAAAGGCATTGTTAAGTAATTTGTGCAAGTCCAACACATGCCCTCCTGCAGGCACATATCTCAGCAAATCCTCTATCAAGCCCTTTATTATAGTGGGGGCTTAGTCGGCTGTTCAGGTTTGGGGGTCACTCACTTTCTTCCTAGTGAGGATTGACAGGTCTGATTCTGTCCTTTCAGCTACATGCAAGCTGAACACCTTCTCTGATATGTCTATGGGCCTTATTTTTTAAAGAGAGGTAAGAATATAGTTATATTTTCCCATTCTAAAAGTTTTATACAGCAAATATTTATGTATTGGGATATGACATCACATTTTTACAGTAATCCTGTCTAACAGCTATGGGTTCTTATGCTTCTAAAGAAGAACTGCTTCATTACCTGTGTTTATTTATTGTTGTGTAACCTGTGTAAAGTCACTACAGGGCCACAAACTATTCCACAATGCTGTCTCTATGTTTTAGCTCCTGGAAAGGCCTAAGAAGACATGCTGGAATAATGTACTTTTGTAATTCCTTGAGATTTTTGTTTTCACCACGGTCCCAATTCACTCAGACTTTGTTGATGCAAAGAGATAGTGAGGGGGCCTGAACATCGGTGTTGAGGGCACTTTGACATGCCCTAGGGTACCCTGCCTGGCCTCTAGCTGCTCCAGAAGGCAAAGAGTTCCTGTAGAGTTGGTGCCATACCTGCTGGACCTATGCAGATGCTTGGTTACCCTAGAGTGTCTCAGATGGCACTGGATGTCTGTGTTGAGGTGCTTAGATCTCTTCTTTGTATGTTTTCAGCTGTGTTACTTGTTCCATGTGCAGACACTGGAAACTAGATGTTGTCACTGAAAAGCAAGAGGTCTACCATGGTCATTTTTGGTGACTTTGTTACAAGTCACTTGCCTCTGTCTTGATTTTCTGTCTGTAAAATAAGGTTCAGAGTACTTGCTCAAGATTGCTTGCCTCCTTCAACCTCAATGCTTGTCCCCTTTCTCTCTTTCCTAGGGAGAGGACACTGGGATGAGGACAGTGTCGTTAGCTCACCTGATCCTGGCTCTGCCAGTGAATCAGGCGACCGATACCGTACTGAGCAATATCAGAGCAGTCCGCATGAGCCCAGCAAAATTGAAACTCTAATAAGAGCCACCCAGCAAATGATTAAAGAGGAAGAAAACAGGCTACAGCTGCGGAAAACAACCCCTGATCCACTGGTCTCCATTAATGGCACAGGGAAGAAGCACGCTACCTGTTTTGCAAACTACCCTCAGCAGCAATTGGCAGGGGATGTCTGCCGCGTCCCGACGGTTGCCAGCACTCCTCCCTGTGAACACATCCAGCAACGAGATGGAAAGATTATGAGCCCACATGAAAATGACTATGACAACAGCCCCACAACACTGTCTAGGATAAGCAGCCCCAATTCGGATCGAATATCAAAATCTAGTTTGGTACTAGCTAAAGACTACCTGCATTCAGACATGTCCCCTCATCAAACCCCAGGGGACCACCCAGCAGCCTCTCCAAATTATTACAGCTCCCACAGGCAGTACTTTGATAAGCATGCTTACACATTAACTGGATATGCCCTGGAGCATCTATATGACACTGAAACCATTAGAAACTATTCACTAGGCTGTAATGGATCACACTTTGATGTGACTTCTCACTTAAGGATGCAGCAAGATCCAGCACAAGGACACAAGGGAACATCCGTTATAATAACCAATGGAAGCTGACACTTTTTTTCTAAAAACTTTTGTGCTTTAAAAAATAACCTTTGAGATCTAATTGGAAGATATTATATGTTTTCATGCCCTTGTCGTTACCAGCATTTGATATACCACAGTGCACTAGAAAGAATAACGTAAGGTTTGGGGGGATGAGTTAGTTAACACACATTACATTTAAAAAATAAAAATGCACTGGCATGGAAGGTTAGAGTGAATGGAGCTAAACTCAAAGTTGGTGCCATGCAAGCTGAGAAGGATGGAAGAGGTCTAGGCAGGGAGTGCTTGGGGCAGGCTAGCAGAGCGATTTATGCACATTGTTTAAGAGGTGGTTGTTTGGAAACACTGCCAAGGGCAGACCTTCTGAACTGCATGTGCCCCACAGGTCCCAGCCAACAAAACTGCTATGCACTCTTTTTACGCAGAAAGTTGGAATATGTTCCTTCGAAATACACATCAAAACGTGTACTTCTTGTGATCTGTTTATTCCCTAATGGCCAAGTGTGTTATGCTGCTTCATGGTATAAAGCATCCGTGGCTAACCAATACAAAATCAAAAAGGGGAGAAAGAAGAGAGAACTCCTCGAATTGTTATTTCCTTGTGTACTCACATGCATAGCTATTTACATACGCTTGATTTGAAAGGAGTCAAATGAGCAGTATCCTTATGATTAGTATGATCAAATATTTACTTCTACTGTATTTAAAAGAAAGAGGGCCTTTCTCAGTGTAGTTTTGAGAAATACATAGGGCTTGGTTGTCTTGATGTAGATGATGGGAGATTGTCCTCATATTTTTGAAAGGTTGCACAAGGTGGTTAGTGGAGTGAAATGGAAGAAAATTGTCCGGAGAAACAGCTGGAATTAGGAGTGGTCCAAGATAAACACATTTAACCCTATGGCTATGTATGCCATTTAGTAATAATTATAAAATAAGGAAATGTGGTTCTAAGTGGCTGAATAATTAAGAATTAATTTGAAACACAGAAGGAACTCAATAGAATCGTAGAAATTTTGCTGTAAAATACAAAGGCAATTGCATAAGTGTAAAAATATGAGAGGTGAGAATAGACAAAAACTGTATGGTGGTTTGTCCTACTTCTGATAAAGTTTTGGGGTAAATTAAGAAAGTACAGAAAATTGTAACTACTCTGTCTGACATACAGTAAAGTAATAGGTATGACTTTGAAAAAGAGATATACGTTCTTTTCTTGCTTGCAGCAGAAAATTTAATGAATATCAGAACATATTAGGGATATCAAAATCAGTCATATGTACATAAAAAATACTGAGGGAAATCAGGGTTCCAAGAAATTCAATTGTATTAAGAATGCTGATATTATCAGGGCCTGTCCTAGAGTTATAGAAGACATCAAAGAAGCAGAGAAACTTTTTGCAATTTTTAATAATCTCACGAACAAAGAGACACTAATTGATTGGAAAAGAGTAAATAAAAAACATATGCTAAAAAAAGTAAAATAGGGCATTTGTAGGCACAATTGTTAGATCTGTCCTTCTTTGTATGGCATTTATATGAAGTCTCAAAGTTGACTGCAATAGGAGCAGAACCGCTGCTCCCTATTATACCAATGTGGAGGTAAGGGGACTTGAGGTGGTTACTAAAATGAGATTAGCACTATGTCTAGCTTCATTTGTAATGTTAAGAAGCTTGACATGTGGGACTGAGTCATCAATAGGCCTAAATATAAACCAGCATGCTACGGGTGGGTTAAAAATATCTTTTTTCAAATAAAACTAATCAGAAGCAAAAGCTAAATAATAACATTATAAGCCACGTAAGTAGAGATGTACTTGAAAGCAGAGGAAATTACCTCTCTGAACTTGGAATATTGTGTATAGTCCTGATCACTCCAAGGCAGATTGTGAATCTTGAATTGAGTAGTACCTTACTCCATAAGCAATCTTTGTTGACTGCAGTGTGATCACTCCTGGTGAAATGTACGTTGAACACAAGGAAGAGCAACACAGTCTGGTCTTTGTTATCTGAAGCTCATAATAGAAAAGGTGGAGCAGAGCTCAGCAAAAGATAAAGAGACTGAAAGATCTAGTAGAAACTTCAAATAAACTGGGTCTGTCATCTTTATAAGGGAAAAGAGCAAGGGGGAATGTCACTGGTGTGCACCAAGCTCTGCACAGAGGAGAGAAAAATAATGGTCTAAAACTATTTGAACTAGCAGCAGAAATGAGAGACAGGGCATTGAATGTTAGCCAAGGCAAAATGAGAATAAAATGATTTGGCAAGAGGTTTATTTGACTAACTGCCAAATGAATAACAAAGGTCATAAAGAGAAGCAGCTAGAGATTTTTGTTTGTTTGTTTGTTTTAAGATAAAAACAAGGCAAATAATTGAGGGGAAGAAAAACATTGACAACTGTTAACTCAGAGGAAGGAATGGACCAAAATGGACTTCTTTCAGGCCAACAATTGTATATATTCCTAAAGCATAGGAATGAGAAAGTATTTTTGATAAACCTAGTTCTGGATACATATTTATTTCACTTATTCCTATGAATAATATGAATAAACTTGTATTTGGAGTCTCATTGTACAGTATTAAAATACAATTTGCAAAGCGAATTAGAGTAGAGGTACATGGTATCATATTATCCCTACTAGTACATATAAAAATAAGTCTAAGTGTCAATATTATTTTGTATTACAGAAGAGTTTCCTAAGCTGTTTGGATGAATGGGATTTTGTCAGCACCCAAGTTTCTTGGGATCACCAAACACTCTTTTTATCAAGCTTTTGATTAGAAGGCAATAGAGTTCTGCAGATCAGCTGCAGTTCCCTGGCTATGGTCTAATGGCCACAAGTAGTCAGGAAACCACAGTTTGGGCACTGTTGTATTTGCATTCTGACAGGCACTTTTGAAAAATAGAAGACTTATAAAACAAACCGACACAATATAAGATGCTTGTACTCTATATGATTTCACCTAGGAAAAAAGCCAGTGTGCTATGCAATAAAAAGTCCCCATTCTTATTTACTGTGATCCCAAAATAAAACTTCCCAAACTGTACTTATTTTTTCTATTTTCAATAGTTCCGGTCCACTACAATGACAAATGCAGCAAAATGCACTGTAATGAACGGAATATATCAGTAGAGAGGTCTGTACATGCAGCCACGTTGTGCTACAAGCAAAGGCTGATGCTCTCTCCCCTCGTGGGATTCCAGCAACCGGCACTCCTTAGCACTTCAGTACAGTCTGCCGGAGATAGATGACTTTTGTCAGCTAATTTGCCATCCTGCTTCTTTAGATAGCCAGGATTTTCTTCTTAATTGACAGAAAGCATTGAATGTTGTAAACATAGTCTCCGTATGTTACATGCTACATGAAAGTAAGTTTACAATCTTAATTATAGCATATATCACTGCAGCTCATATTACATGTACTTTTCAATATGGTATAAAGCTTATTTTTTCCATTACATATTTATTTAATTCAAATTTTCATTTAGTATCCTTCAAGGATATAATCTTTTTTTTTGTTTCTTCATTTTCTAAATCAGATAAGATGAGATGAGATATTTTGCAAAACTGAAAAATGCAAGGCATTTCTACCAAATACGTTTCAAATGTATCACGTTAGCTAAAGGTTATCACTTTAAATAAGGTATATAGTTCGTGTTTTTTGAAAAGAAACAATATAAATTGCTGTGTTGCATCATTTCTCTAACATAATACTGTTTTGTTATTAACACCAAATTAATATTTTGTAGCTATGCCAAATACAGAGTGACCACAGCTCTTTCAAACTATTTCTTATTGATATCAGTGGATGGTGCATTATGATTTTGGTGTATCATGATTTTGGTATATCTCTTTAGTTTAAAGAAGCAAAAAACCCTCTCTATTCTTTATACAAAATTGCACCCCAGGGGCATGGAGTTTGTAATTTTGGACAAATTTGCAAAGAAATTCTTAAATTAGAAAAAGAACCTTACTCAGCAATTTGTCCCATTGACTCAAATGGGAATATTTGTGGAGTAAGGTACTACTTAATATGTGTAAGGGCAAAAAAGCTGACTTGTTGTGAAGTGGCAATAGGTTTGGGGTTTGTTTGTAATTTTTTTTTTTCTGTTTTAATCTCAAGATGCGAGTGTGGAAACTGTGGAAAGTAACAGCTGTAACGGCTGTGTTTCTATAATAGAGGTTATTTATACACGCTTTGAAAAAATGAGTGCATCTCTCTGCACTGAAGAGCCCCAGAAGTATTTCTTAAGCTTTAAATGGCTTTTGTTGATGTGTCCACAATACTGCCACAAGTTACACAGTGAAATTCTGCCCTTTTAAACTCTTTTAATCACTCTTATCTGAATCTCATTTTTATCTCTGGACATGCAGCATTTATTCATTAATGTCCCTAAGTGTGTTAACCACCATATGTTCATTTATGTGAACATCCTGAGCGAGCTGGAAAAAAATAAAAGGTCGCATAGTATTTCTGGAAAAGGCGCAGCCACCCCAGAAAATCAGACTGGCTGTTCCAAAGGTCGGTTAACCTTTCAATCAAGGAACAAAGCTGCGGCATACGCATTGGTTTCAGACCTTCTGCATACAAAGCTGTATATAATGGGTATTATAGCACAGAGTTCCAGGATTAGACCTAGCTATGTCTATTTTAAGGTGGCTATAGTTAATGTCTGGCAGCAAATGGGTTCAGGCTCTGGTCTTTCCATGAGTTGCAAGTTTACTTAAAACACCTAAGGGTCTAAAGGCAAATACAGGCTTTGTTATTAGGAACAACGGTGGATGAACATGCTGTCCTGTAGGTATACTGGATTAGCTCCAGACACCTCCACAGTGTGGAGGAGAACCTATTTTATTTTATTTGCAGTTAGCATTGATGGTTAAATATTTCAGCTGTATGCACTGAGAAGCAAAAAAACCCCCAAAACCAACAACAGAAAAAACAAAACAAAAAACCCCTGGTTTTTTTCTGTAACCCTTCAGTTTGGTGTTAGTAAAGCCTGCTAGAGGGGTA